TGTGTTACGTTTGTTGGATTTGGAATGTGAATACATCTATGGCTGCTTAAAGTCTAAGTTAAAGTAACTTCATTTACTCTGGAATATTTCTCTTGGCTTGAGATTGACTTTCCAGTTCAATCGTTATGACGACATTTTCACGGCATTTTTAGTAGAACAAATTCATTCAACCTGGCCAAGATGCAGCTGTCGTTGAATGGCATCAACAGAACTAGCCTCATGATGTTGAATTATACCTGCCAAGCGACCAAAACCAAATATTTCGATAGACATTAATGTTTTTACTCCTCTGATATCAGCCAACAATACCATGTTAAATAAATATAATTGTGCTTAACTTTCCAGTTCATTTATTATTGGGTTGTTCAGAAAGTCATTTCGTTTTTTTTGGCGAACATGAAAGACAGTTTTCGTGTAATGAATAAATATTTTATTAAATTATATATTGGCCATTCTGGTCCAACACCTTTTGCCATCTTTCTGGCAGTAACATAATTCCCCTCTCATAAAAGTTTTGGTCCTTGCTGGCAAAAAACTGGTTCAGGTGGTTTTTGACATCTTCATTTGAGGTAAAGGTTTTGCCATCCAAAAAATTTTGCAGGGACCGGAACAAATAGTAGTCGGAAGGCGCCAGATCTGGAGAATATGGTGGATGTTGCCGTACGTCCCATTCAAGCTGTAAAAGTTTTTGGCGAGTGACCAAACTTGTGTGAGGTCTCGGATTATCCTGGTGGAACACTACACCCTTCCTGTTGATTAATTCGGGCCTCTTCTCTTTAAGTGAATCATTCAATTTGTCCAGTTGATGACAATAGACTTCTGAATTAATCGTTGTATTGTCCGGCAAAAGCTCAAAAAAAAAAACGATTCCTTTGACATCCCACCAAATGGAGAGCATCACCTTTTTTTGGTGAATGTTGGCTTTTGACACGCTTTGAGCCGGTTCATCTTTTCTGCTCCATGACCTCTTGCGTTTAACATTGTTGTATACAACCCATTTTTCGCCCCCAGTAATAATCCGCTTCAAAAATGGATCATTTTCTTGACGTCAACGCGACGACACAAATTTCGCTCCGTAAGGACATGGGGCACCCACACATCGAGCTTCGAGGTTAAGCCCATGCCTTTCAAATGGCCATAAACAGTCGAATTCGACAAATTTAATCTCTCACCGATCTCTCGTGTGGTTATTCGCCGATTTGCATCAACTAATGCCTTTATCGCATCTTTGTCAGCTTCGACCGGCCTTCCAGACCGTGGTGCATCTTCGACATCAAAATTGCCGGATCGAAATTTTGCAAACCAGTTCTGGCACTGGCGTACTGTTAACACGCCTTCTCCATACACATCCGTCAATTTTTTTCTCGCTTGGACAGCATTTTTACCTTTTCTGAAGTAAAAAAGTAAAATATGACGAAAATGCTGCTTATTGCTCTCCATATTTAAAAGGGCACCAACCAAAAACTACTGCGTAGAATTAATAGAACTTTTTCACACACAAGCCTTGCAGTATTAGGTCTCAAGACATATAATAGTTATGCGGCTTAAGTGTGAGGTTGGTTTCGAAAAAACGTAATTAAGTCCTTTGACGGGAAAAAACGAAATGACTTTCCGAACAACCTTATATTATGGTGATATTTACAAGATATTTGATATAATCAATTGTGACGTATGAACTGTCATTTGCCATGTTGTGGGGTTGTGAAAAGAAGGAATTAATCAACAGAAATTGAGTCACGATATTCAGCTATAAGTCTCTTGACTTGCATATCAATCATTATGGTGATCTTTTCGCGGTATTTGATTCAATCAACCTGTCATGTACCATTTAGAATGTTATGCGGTTCTCAGACCAAGCAATTGCTTTAGCCTAAATAATCTTAGCTGACATTGAAACGGATAAACAAAAATACACCCATAACAAACAATATCAAAACATAGCTCTATTTGTCTTGTCCTTTGATTTAATTTGAAACCAAGCATAGTGCCAAAATAACTTACAATAAGAAAATAAAAGATAACGTCGACGAGTCAGGTAGCAAATTCCGTCATATTTATCATCCTATTTTAAAATTGTCAGTTTAAGATAAATACATTTGTTCGATTGCAATTGTTCTCAGGGCTTCTTTGATTCACTGTCTTTTTTTTGCAGTATCCATATGTCTACGTTTTAACTCAAGAGATAACCAATTTTCTATAACTTTAATTTGGTTTACACATAGATCTATGTCATGGCATAAAAGAAAAATCCGTTACTAGATATTTATTTAGATAAATGTTTGATGTCTTGGTGCGACGAAACGTCATCGTCGTCCACCCTAAGCTCTGTCAGACCGACGGTCATTGCAACAAATTATCTCGACGAAAACGTGTTCCAAACAATTTACATACTACGGTAATAATATTACTTAAAGTTTACAGCAGAAAATTTAAGCGAACTATTCTTGGAACATTAATATAAAAAACAAGGAGCGCGGACTGAATCGGTATACACTTAGATTAGATCGACCCCTTCTCAAAATAAACCATTCGGCTATAGGATAAATATATAAAATGTAGAAGTAACGAGGATAAAGATAGATGATTGTTGTAAACTACGAATTATTATCTGCTCGGTGATAAATCACCGATCCGCTAGAAAAATTTGAGCCATTATTTATACCAGACGCCTACGGGGCGGACCGGTCAAGCTGACAAAATATACGCAATATAATGTACCGGGTGGCCCATTAATAAAGGACGGCCATATCTCAGGAACTGTTAGCCATACAACTTACAACTTAGAAAAATCGACCACGAGAAAAAGCTGTAAATCATTTCCAGGTTTATAAAATGCCTGCTAGCGGGCGTAACCTCTACTGTAAAATAGAAAAAACGCTTTTACTCGAAAATATTCCAAATTTGTTTCTATCTCGTCAAATTAAGGGTGGTGGACGGGCCAAATATTAGTTTAGAAAAAGAAAAAGATAGAGGAAATTATTAAAAACGCAAAGAACAGAGGAAATTATTAAAAACGCAAAAGACAGAGGAAATTATTAAAAACACAAAATTAAGAGGAAATTATTACAAACGCAAACTACAGATGAAGTTATTAAAAATGCAAAGGTCAGAGGAAATTATTAAAAACGCAAAAGACAAAGGAAATTATTAAAAACGCAAAATAAAGAGGAAATTATTAAAAACGCAAAATAAAGAGGAAATTATTAAAAACGCAAAAGACAGAGGAAATTATTTACAACGCAAAAGACAGAAGAAATTATTAAAAAGCTCAAAATAAAGAGGAAATTATTAAAAAGACAAAAGACAGAGGAAATTATTAAAAAGCTCAAAATGAAGAGGAAATTATTAAAAACGCAAAGTACAGATGAAGTTATTAAAAATGCAAAGGACAGAGGAAATTATTAAAAACGCAAAGTACAGATGAAGTTATTAAAAATGCAAAGGACAGAGGAAATTATTAAAAACGCAAAGTACAGATGAAGTTATTAAAAATGCAAAGGACAGAGGAAATTATTAAAAACGCAAAAGACAGAGGAAATTATTAAAAACGCAAAATAAAGAGGAAATTATTAAAAACGCAAAAGACAGAGGAAATTATTAAAAACGCAAAATAAAGAGGAAATTATTAAAAACGCAAAAGACAGAGGAAATTATTAAAAACACAAAATTAAGAGGAAATCATTAAAAACGCAAAAGACAGAGGAAATTATTAAAAACGGAAAGGACAGAGGAAATTATTAAAAACGCAAAGTACAGATGAAGTTATTAAAAATGCAAAGGACAGAGGAAATTATTAAAAACGCAAAAGACAGAGGAAATTATTAAAAACGCAAAGTACAGATGAAGTTATTAAAAATGCAAAGGACAGAGGAAATTACTAAAAACGCAAAAGACAGAGGAAATTATTAAAAACGCAAAATAAAGAATAAATTATTAAAAACGCAAAAGACAGAGGAAATTATTAAAAACGCAAAATAAAGAGGAAATTATTAAAAACGCAAAAGACAGAGGAAATTATTAAAAACGCAAAAGACATAGGAAATTATTTACAACGCAAAAGACAGAGGAAATTATTAAAAAGCTCAAAATAAAGAGGAAATTATTAAAAACGCAAAAGACAGAGGAAATTATTAAAAACACAAAATTAAGAGGAAATCATTAAAAACGCAAAAGACAGAGGAAATTATTAAAAACGGAAAGGACAGAGGAAATTATTAAAAAATTGATTCATTTTGTTTAAACTAATGACGAGCAGGGAAATTTTCTTCCGGAATCTTAATCTTAATTTTGTAATGCATGTGACCAATAATAGAAACATGATTTTTTTACCAAGAAATCAGTTAAATTTTCATTTGTTAACTTAAAAGTTAGTAAACGATACGAAAATAAACAAATAATTTTAAGACGTTAATATATTCTTAAAGTGTAGACATTTAACCATGGATGCTGAAAATTTCATAAATTTATCTCTTAGGAGCGCTTAGTATTATTACATAACAACATATAAAAATAAACATAACAAAACAATAACAACATATTATTAAAATAAACATAACAACAACATATTATAAAAATAAACATAACAAAACAATAACAACATATTATAAAAATATGTTGTTAAAATCAATCGTTTCAGGGATCAATTTTCCTTCATAACCACTTATAAAAATATATATATACATTAATTTTTCATGATCGAGTGGCAAATAGAGGGTCTACTCGACGTGATCTTACTCATATGTCAATCAGTTCAGCCTAACTATTTTGATCAAGACAGCAATAAATTGATTTATTTAAGCGGGCACAGACAAAATTTTTCGATTTTAGTATGAGTTTTAATTATCTATATAGCAAAGTGCAAACGTAAAAGCTGCGCAATCGTTACCGAATTGTATAATCCAGATTAGATTGCACTTTTACCTAGAAATTAATCTTATCTATTGATTTTTGCACATATTCCCAGGCTATAATTTCTGTGTTTATGATTTCAGTCCAGACGGTGCTATTGGCGTGAGGTAAAGACTAATCAATCGATTCTTTTTCTGAAATGTATAAAGAATTGCAAGGAGTTCTAGACAAAGTTGTCAATTTCATTTCGATAGATGAGAATGAAGCGCGTCAAAATAACAAGTTGCTGCTCGATACGGTAAGTATAATTTAGCAACAGCCCACTTTACAAATTTGTCATATTCATCACCCAAAAACAATAGACAATGATAAAATACAATTTTATGGATGGAAGCATTTTTTCGAAAATTCCTCAACTGAGTAAAAACCATAACTGGAAAGATAGCTTCTAACCGATAACTTAAATTTTCTTATCGTAAATTGCTTAGCGTTAGCTTTATACAAGCGGTTATAGTTGTTCACAAATATATTATATATGTTCAAATTTAGTTTATTTTTCTGAGTAGTGGCTAATCTAGACTTAAGTGGAACAATATTGCTAGATCCGCGTGTGTCGTAGCAGTGGTAGTCACCATGAGTAGGATACCTCTGCAAACCAGCATGGACCTCCAGAAGGTTGTAGTATATGAATAGGGAAGGCAGAGTTAGAATCTTAAATTTAATAAAAAGCTCACGACAATGTGCTCCAGGAGGAGCCCCGTGGAGAATGCGAACTGCTGCCTTCTGAAGCCGAAAAACACGATCAGCATCTGAAGAGTTACCCCAAAGAAGCACGCCATAGGTCAGATGACTGGGAAAGAGTGCAAAGTAGATAGTCTTTAAGGTCTTCTGCGAAATGCAGTCTTTTAATTGCCTTAATGCAAAGATTTGAGACGAGAGTTTGGAACATAGATACTCGATATGAGCCGACCAGGTTAGGAAGGTATCGAGAAAGATACCTAGAAGCTTAGCAGGCTGTGACTTTACAGCTCTTTTGTTGGATGTTATTAGCATTTTTTTCGTCTTCGATGTGTTAAGCTTAAGTTTATTGGCGGCGAACCATTGGTCAACCGCCTGAAGATTATCGTCAGCCATCACCTTCAAAGTCGCAATATCCTTGTCCGAAGACATCAAGGTCGAATCATCGGCAAATAGAATGCAGTTCGCCGCATCGACGGCCTTTACCAGATCATTAATATAAATTAGAAACAGGAGGGGACCGAGGATGGATCCTTGGGGAACTCCTCTATTAACCGTTACCATAAAGGCTTTTATTCAAAAAAGAACGGCGAAATTCAGTACAACCAAGTTAAATAAATAACTGGAAGTCTGTTCTTACGTCTAACCCAATCGAGAGGATGAACGCAAAAGCGAAATTACCATATAAGTTTTAACAAATTCAGAAATGAAATTATAATAACACGAAAGACAAAAGATAATAACTAAAATAATAAGAAAGTGACACATACGAACAACAAAGTCTATGGTTATTCCATAATTATTTAAAAAAAAAGGAAAATAAGAAATTTGACAAACAACCAAAAATTACACGAGATAACATGGTTATTAAACAGCCCTGTTTTCATTGTTCAGAATATAGTTTCTCGGACACTTTTTTCTTAAATGTTTGTTTTGAAACGGATTATTTAACTTCAAGATGCAATTTTTTAAGTACTTTTGGGATCTGCTAGGAGAAAGACCGTTTATATAATAATTATATAATTGTGGTGTTAGTGTTCCCTTAAATCGAATATTTAAGTTGTGAACATCGGTCCTGAAGCAAATCTTGAAATACAAATACAAGGGTGTTTTACTAGTCAAAATACAAAAGCAGAAAGTTGTTCTATATAGGTATGGTCTGTTCATAGATATAAGAAAGTGACCAATTGTTTTTGAATGGGATTGTTCAAGGGTGGTCATTAACATACAATGCAACAAAATCATTGCCTAAAGTTTCGGAATTTAAATTCAGGTAAAATTGTGGTCCGTAATAGAAAAGCATTTTATACCTACCTGCGTTTAATATTCTTTGTTTTGGTATACTACTTAGTTTAAGTTTATTAGTAATCATTCTAATTTCGTGTGTAATAGAGCGTGTGTTGAATCAGGTGCGATTTATGCAAAATATGTGCGAGTCTAGTTTATCTCCGGAGATGCTCCCGCCCAAATGTAGAAAATACTATTCTATTGAAACTAAGGAAGTCATGAACAATGTTTACTTGACTCTCATTGAACGGGGTGCCAGCAAGCAAGCATCTTTAGAAGAAACGGCCACATTGAAGAAAATGCCAACATCAACTGTATGGAAAATTGTGAATATTCCCATTTCAGCGAGGAAAAAAGAAGCGATGCTGACATTTTCTCGAGTGTAGATGAAAGTAATCAAGATATAATACGGCGTAAAATTTACCAGTTATACGAGGGACAAAACGTGCCTACATTAGATATCTTAATTAGGAGGTTTGAAAAAGATGAAACCGGTGTTAAATATGGAAGTGTATTCAACACATGGGTTTTAGATTTAAAAAAATTGACACAAGGCAAGTTTTAATGGAATATCTAGAAAAAAATAGGATTTACAAAGCACAACAAAGGCAAATTATTTACTAAAGATGGTTTGATTCCAAATGGACTTTCTCTGGATTACCATGAAGACACCAACGCTGATTTATTTGAAAGTTGGTTTAAAAACAAACTAGTTCCAACCATTCCTCCTAATAGCGTAATTGTAATGGACGATGCGAGTTATCACACTAGACAGTTGACTAAAACTCCTTCCTAACGTAACACAAAAGCAACAATCCAAAACTACATGTATAATAACGACATTTATTTTCACGAAAATTATACCAAAAAGCAATTAATTGGAGTTCCACAAAGCTTGAACCTACAAAAGGAATACGTCTGTGATAATTATGCAAAAAATCTAGGGCATACAGTTTTAAAGCTTCCACCTTACCACTGTATATTTAATCCAATTGTACATGTTCGGCACCAACTGAAATCTGCCATTTGTCGTAACAATGTTTTTCCCCGTGTTAACTCCAATGTCCCCAAACTTATAGAAATCGAAGTTTTTAACATCCCTCCGCAAAGTTTGGCAAATTCTGTTAAACATATAGAAAAAGCAGAACAATCGTATATCCATATTGCAAATAATATAGAACAAATAATAATTAGAACAGGCAATTATAGCGATAGTGTAAGTAGGTAATAAAAATAATTTGTAATTTTATTTTAGATTTAAATAATTAAATTTTAAGCAAAATATGGACCAGTTCGGCCATATTTCATTCTTACAGCTTGGCCGGGTCTTCCCTTAATTCGTACCAGTTAGTCACTTTGTTATATCTATGAACAGACTTTATCTTCTATTTTGCATATTTAACCAACCATTCAATTTTAACGTACGACTGCCTGAATTGCGTTTTTTTATTCCATAAATTAAGCGCAAACACGAATTTTCAGTTTCTGTGTTCGTCCTATATCTGTGCTTTTTAGACAAGAACATAAACAATATCACAATAGTTAACCTGAGAAAGGACCAGCGAGTCACGCAGCATTGGTTTTACGTCTCTGGTTAGGACATTTCTACTCCTTTTAATGCATTTAAAAGTGTTCTTTTCTGGTTCACATAAATTTAAATGGTCTTTTAAGTATTAAGTATTTAACATAATATTGGGCAATTTCGAAATTCGTTTCATTGCTCCCGATTAAATACTAAATTTTATTGAATAAAATATTCAGAATGTAAAATAATACAAAAAGCTGAGCGTGTAGTTTTGGATGGAAAATGCCAAATCGTAGTAGTTGCAAACCTTGTTTAACTAAAACACATATAAATATTTTAATTATGACATAATGGAACAATACAAAAACAAAATAACTAACGTTTTCTTTCTCTGTTAAATTTGCGCTAATTTTATTCATTTCCATGCATGGCCAAATTCTGAAACAAGGTTTGTTGAAAACATTTATCCAATATTTATTTCTATCTAAGCCTATTCGTAAGCTCCGACAGACTTCTACTATATTTTGAGTCCTAAATTCTAATGCACTAGGTCGAAAATAAAATCCGAAATTATCAAAAGTTTTTTTAAGGATCTACAACTTTTTCCCCCATCCCATTACAATTATAAAATTATAACATGGTTTTGTTCAGATTAAAATTAAAATTATCCCAAACATGAGAGACTTGGACCTGCGATTCAACAAATTGTACAACGATTGTACGTGGACGGGTAGCTATTACGAAAATCTCAAGACCGTCCGTGCCGACGAATACGACATTAATGTGGTTATGCTGGTTCCAAAATGCGAGACTTGCGCAAGAAAATGCTGCGACTGCATCAAAATTGAAGCCAGCGACAGACCGGGGTTTGTTAGGTTTAGACTCAGTCCAGGATGCTGGTACGTACTTATCTATATCAAGTGTTATTTTCATTTTCATTCTTAAAGTGTCAACCGACAGTCAACTAAAATGAAGGCGGAACTCGGTCTCGGTAGATATTGCGAATATTGTGAAAATACGCTTTCCTCTTTTCTACAGACAGAGCAACCTCAAAACCGTTGTTTGATTTTAGAAAACACCGAAAAAAATCACAAAAATTCGTACAAAAATTACAAGTTTAAATCTGTATCCGTTCGTTGTTTGGTACCTTAAGTTTAAGTGCGGACATGTACGAGTGACATGAACGAGCAACCTCTGCAGGCGCCATATGGATGGATGCAATGACCGGCCCTTCATTTATAAATCCATTAAGAAAAATGCTTATATACAGACTCCTAATTATTAATAACCCAAACGTTAATTTAACCTTCTTCTTTAAGTGCCATCTGTATTTTTGATATACCTGATCTTTTTCTAGAAGTGCCTGTCCTTTCCGGATGTTGGCGATCAGCATAGCCAGTTTTACTTTGTTGATGGCGATTCGGAAAAGTTCTGTTGATGATTTGGTAAACCACCTTCTAAGGTTTGCTAACCAAGATATTCTCCTTCGACCCGGTCCTCTCTTGCTGTTAATTTTGCTTTGGAGGATTTGTTGTAATAACTCATATCTACCTAGGTTCCTCATTATGTGACTGAGATACTGAAGTTTGCGACATTTTACGGTATCAAGCAGTTCTGTTTCTTTATTCATACGTCGCAATACTTCCACGTTTTGTGTCCCAGATATTTTCAATATTCTCCTGTACAGCCGTAATTCGAATGCTTCCAGTCTCTTGGTGGTTTCTTTAGTGAGTTTGTACGCCATACAGAAGGACCGAGAAGATGTAGCAACGTAATAGTCTGAGTTTCATGGGTGAGGACATATTGTGACTCTTAATAAATACTGAGCGGGTATTCTCGATGCGACATCGTATTTCTTGAGAGTTGTCCCAGTTCTCTGGTTGTCCCCAAGTATGTGTACTGCTTTACTCCTTGTATTCTACTCTGTTTGATGTATAAATTGTCATCTGTGTTTTCTGTGATGCCTCCTTTACTTGCTACAAGGAGTTTGGTTTTGTTTATATTCATTTTCAACCCGTGCTGTGAGCTAGCCTCAGTCACCCATAGTTTTTGTAGTCCTTGAAGACCATCTGCAAACATTTATCATCTGCGTACCTTACGTTATTTAGTTTAAGATTTATTCTGAGTACACGTTAAATAAGATAGGGGATAGAATACATATCTGACTTACCCCTCGCAATATTTTTATTTATTCTGTGTGCCCGCCGTCAACTCTTAAAACTGCCGTCTGGTTCCAATGCAAATTTATAATTATGTTTGAATCTGCAACCATATAGGTATTAGATAATATTGTGACTACTACGGTAAAAATTGATGCGCCTCACTTTGCAGTATTTCCTTTCTAAACAGCGATACCCACACATTTTTTACCTGAAGATTTAATGGGGCCATATTTTGACAAAATACTGAAGTAAATATGCGGCATCAAAATTAACGGCCTGTCCGCGACCATGTCATTGCCAAGGTTATAAACGAGATTTTAAATCTCGTCCAAGGGTGTGTTGAGTGATTTTTTTATAGTTGGCATGGCATGGCCTTTATAGTATCTGGAATGACGCCTTCTTCCAACTTTCATCCGTCCTTGCATTTTTCTATGAGTTCCTATAAGTTAATACATAGCCCAAGTATTGAAGCTTCCATTTTTTTAGTCTGTTAATAACCTCTGCTTGTGACTTCCACGTTAGTTAGCTTGTCCCTTTTATGTTCAGTTTTCCACGCTATATCCATAGCTCGAAGGCCAAAACCAGATTCCTGATGGCCTTGCCTCTACGCCATAGAAAACACTCTTCTCATTTTCATAAACGTTTGTTCCATTCTGAGATTAATTTCTTCAGAGCATTCATTGGTCTTCTTTATTATAGTACCTGGAGATTTATACATTTCAATTTTTGATTGAAAGACAAAAGCTAATTAAGCCGTAGCTACCGCGGATTAAGAACAGCGATTCAGACAGCATTTTAACGCCTGATTTATTGGTGGTCGAATCCCTTTACCCTTTAATATTTTTGTTTTCGCTGTTGGCTTTTGTTTCTCGGTTTCTGTTTATGCTTCTTTTGCCGATGATTTAAAAGTAAAAAAAAAGAGATTCGTTCACATCAGAGCTTCAGAACGATCTTGACAGATTTGATGATTATTGCAGAAACCACAGGTTTTTTATAGATATTAACTTAAAGCTTGATAATAAAAAGTTGAAAAGAGTTAAGCAAATAAAAGACTTGGGAATTGTTCTTGACTCACAATTAAACATGGAGGCTCATATTGAAACTATTGTTAAAAAATGTTTGAGAAATCTGGGCTTCATTTTGAGGACTACCAAAGGATTCAACAAACATCAGTCAGTAATAATCGTGTATAATAGTATGATAAAATCTGTACTAGAGTACTCATCCACAGTGTGGAATGCTATTTATAGTAAATCAATCATCAGAATAGAAAGCATACAAAAAAAACTTTTTAACAACTGAAACTTTACAGACATTTTTGCTCGTACGAAGAAAACTTGAAATTTTACTATTTTACTTCGCTTGAAACTCGAAGAAAATGTTTTGATGTTTTTTTTTTACAAAGTTATGTTTAGTTTAAGCCTTGGCTTATTTAAAACAAACCTATATCAAATTATTTAGCTCGTAGTTATAATTTACTTAAATCCAACTTTTGCTTTCATTGTAGAGATTATTGCTCACTTTTCCGACTTTGTGAAATACTATAAGCTTGTATTATGCCATTCTATAATTTTGTTGATACATCTGCCTGTTGAATGAATGAATAAATAAATTAAATACATATTACTGCCGACCGAGATTATTGGACCATCACGAAGATACAAATCTAAAACTTTTTAAAAGGTGATTTCAAAATTATCTTTTAAAAAATATTCTTGATAACATTGACATTGTTATTGATAACGTAAGCTATCACACAATTACAAAAAGAGCTTTTAAGAATATTTGATAATAAATGATATTTATGGATTTATGGATTTGTTTCTAGTTCGGAAATGGATAAATTTGTTGACCCAGAGGGATATGTACTTCCGTCCAAAATAAGAAATTGGCAAAAAGGTTTAATAAGAAAGGCAGTAAATCAGATGGCAAACGGCAATGTTACGCTTCAGGACTCGGGTCCCGCAATTACTGTTATTGTAGGAGGTATATACATTGACCTGGTACCTACATTTGAGTTTGACAAAATTTACTGGCCCATAGGATTTCGAGATAAGCCTGTAATCGCCACATTATTTCCTTGTCGATCCGTGCGACTATTTTGTTTTTCAGGGAAGCTTTGGGATAGTTCCAAAACCTCCACGCGACCGCCAAGATACGCAAACATCCAGATATTGGCGAGCTACGTTTCCCAAACAGGAAAGAGAAATGATAAATGGGCTTCAACGGTTGAAACCAGCTCTACGGCTACTTAAAGTAATTGTCTTGCCTTGGTAATCTAAACAAATATATATATTTACTATTTCAAGGCACTAAAATTGAACTAATTTTAATTAGCTGTCGAAAATTTACAGTTCATTACTTCCATAATTCAACAAAATTTAACAAATATCAACAACTGGAAACTTTTGCGTCAGTCAGCTGCTTCAGTGTTACATTAATTTCGATCGTCAGATTGGAGATGATAATTTTGTTAATAGAGAAAACACGCCTTGACTGTTTGACGTTTCATCATATTTTTATAATCCTCTTTTAATAAATAAATATGTTTCTTTTCAGTTGGAGTCGTTTTCCAATATAGTATAGTAAAACTGGGATCATCATCAACAAAATTTAATTTAATGCATTTCTCAATCAGGGCGACGACAGGATCATTACTCACCATTTTGCTAATGTCGTTGTCTCTGTTGATACTATAAAGTAACAATAACATGGCTACCAACATATTATTAGAAGTGTTTACCTGTATTTTTGTTGGCTTTATACGAATTCTTAGGAGAAAACTATTCAAAAACATAATTTTAAACGCTGTTTTAACTAATCTCATTAATAGTTTTTAAACAAAAGCTTACGCAAAAGAAGAATTCTGGTCTTATTCTATCCATTTATTATTGTTTTTTTCTAAAATAGTGCCCTTTTCTTTTCTTGTTCATAACTTTGCATGGGTGTTTGACATAGTCACTATATATCCAACCTTAAATCTACTATTAAGGCTTCCTCTCTATGAGAATCCATGAAAAAGTCTGTCATCCCTTAGGACTCTAAAATTCTTCTCCTCTACTCCCTAAGATTCACACACCAGGATTACCATCCCTTAAGCCTATTGCCATTAATTTTCCAACCCTGTGCAGGGAAAACTGAAAGTTTCGTAATTAATTCCGTTCATTTCATTAAACAATTAAAAAGCATTACTTTAGATTCAAACAATGTCATCGCGAATATATTTATGGAAGCCATTGACTTCTCTACACCTTCGATCAAAAACCAAAATTATAAAGACGCTACGTTGATGACACTTTTGTTATTTGGCCTCATGGTAAAAACCTAGAACTCTATAAACCCTAATATACGTTTTACTTAATAATAATAATAATCTCTCGTTCTTAGATATTCTTATCAGTATCAGAGGCCATTCTAGTTACAAAAAACCTACGCACACATTTTCACATGACAATCCGTCTCAAAAATGAGCGGTTATCAACTCTCTTATTATTTCAACTCAAGTCACTGAATCCAGAATTAAAACATTTAACATCTACTCTCCTATCTAATAATTTCCACCTCAACACAACCTTCCAAAGACAGATAGTCTGGAAGCAACCCCACACTTACCTTAATTTCATTTAGTTTTCACTGACCACATATCAAAAGTTCTTATGAAATATACTGTCAAAGATACCGGGAGTATACAACATTCCGTACATATGTGGCAAGGAATACATTCTAGAGACCTGACAAAAAATTGTCAAGCAGGCTCAAAGATCATGAAAGAGGCTTAAGACTCGTCAGCAGTTGTCGAACACAATCATGAAAAAAAAAATCACCATGACTAAGGTCTGTTTTCATCGGAATGGGAATCAGTCATCCCAGATCAAGATTTTTGCATTAATATTACAGTAGCCTGTAGAAGCTTCTTTGAAAAATTTAATATATTGTATTTAGCTAATATCATTCGTCTTGGCAAATAATTACGGTGTTTAATATTATATTGTAATAAATAATATAAGATTTGTGGTTTTAGAAAACTAGAGACACCCAGGGTCATTCATTGATAAAAAGTTACTTCTTGAAGACTATGGTTCTATGGGAAGTCGAAAGAAATGCAACGCAATTCGAAGAAAATATAGGTTCCGTATTCATGAAGGTAAAAATAGTATTTCTGGGTGCGTTTAGTTGTCCCTTTACATTGGGATGCCGCTTCTTCAAAAAATTAACACCAAATTTGAACACCCTATGAATTAATCGATTGTCCATTCCACTGTTAGCAACTTTCTGGTGCCACACAGATGGAAATAATAATAATGCCCTTCAAATGGTATATCATGTTTCTAAGACCAAATAATTATGCTTAATCCTGTAAAGATTGGCATATTTGACATTGATCAATGACATTTGACATTTAGTAGACTACTATTGTGAACTACTCAAATGAAATTTGTATTTACACTGTGTCCGATTTTGGGAGCGACTAAGCGTTGCTAGTGAAGATAGAGCCTTGCGTTTTCGTAAACCTTTGGTACCTTTTTGTGACTTTAACAAAATTTTTAGTTTTTAAAATACAGGGTGACTTTGGAAAATTGAAGTTTTGCGGCACCTCTCGAATCTGGGGTATCCTATGAACTGTCGAAATGTGAACAATGTGAAAAAAAATAAGGGTTAGTTATTTCAAAGGCACACACGCTATAATCTTATAATTTGATTCCATTATTTGTATAAATGACCTCACAATTTTTTTTTTAATTTTTATGATGGGCCTAACAGGTTGCCTGCGAGGTCCCCTGATTTAAACGTTTTGTTTTTTTTGGCCACATTTAAAAAGTTTGTGTTAATGTTAAAGACAAAATATTAATATTAAACGAAGTTGCTTTCATTGAAATTATAAAAGTTATTGTGTAATTATTGTCAGAAAAAAATAAGTTAACTATTTTAGATATTTAATAAATCCTTTTTCTAAGGCCTACCGCAAATGCCTTTATGAAAAAAATCATTTTATAGAAATAGCCCCACGCTGTTATATATTTTTGAGGTCATACCAAGCGGAATGAAATTGGCCTATAAGATATTCTAAAAAACTGAACTTTAGTTTTTTTCAAAAAAACTGACTACGCCACTAAATTGTAAGTAAAAACCTATATCGGATGTACTTTTCACCTTTTCGACATTTCGTGCCTCAAAACTTCAAATTTCCAAAATCACCCTGTATTCTGAAAACTAAGCAAGTCATGGAAAAAAAGGATCGACGGTTTGAGAAAACGCAAGGCTCTATCTTTACTAACAACGAAAATTGGACACAATGTACATACGGAAAACTTGATGAAAATGTATTCTGATTTGTATTCAGTATATGAGTAATAATATATGAGTAATAAAATATCTACAATAAATTTGGAAAATGCTGACTGCTGCCGTCTAAACTTTCTAAAATTTATATTCTTGTCAAAACATTTGTGGCCCTCTTTTAAATTACCACACACATAAAAATAATACAGACATCAATAATAACCCAATAATAACCTTCAGATTTTCTAAATTTTGACAAAAACTTGATTTCATATTATATATTAGCATCAGGGGTTTTTCTCTAGAAAACTAATGCATGGGACCATGGTAAATTATAACCAAAATATCAGCTTTCTACGAATTCAAATGTGGCTGTAATAAAGATTGAACAGGAAAAATAATTAATTTCTCTAAAACCCGAAGGCTAACGTAATAATATACAGTATGCAATGGTTAAAAATATCTAAGTTCATGCCACTTTTTTGAAGGATCGGCAACATCGCATATTTTTTAAAATAAAACTTTTAACCTGCTATCCACCACGAATCAACCTATATTTCCTGCTAAGTATGATTTTTTTTCAGCTACTGGAGTTGTATAAAGATTGCCTAAAGAAAAAACAAATAAAAAACTTTTGGAATGAGAGACACAACCTTTTAGACGGCATTTCCGACGAGTGTCTAAATAATTTTCACGGACGAGTAATCAAAATTATTTCGAAAATCAACTGCAATTATTTGCAGGATCCGTACATTGTTGCCAAATATATACGTAAGTTTATCATACTTATAAACGAGGGCGGCTATTTGTATTTCTGGCACAATAATGAAAAAGCAAATACGTTCATCGAAATGAGTTTACAATCCACCTTTCCATGCGTTAAACTAATTTTTCAAGCAGTTTTTCCACTCTGATGTAGCGTCAAAACTAGCGTTTTGGTTAGTTGACCACGTAATTTTTTTTTAGGTGCGGGAATAAAAAGAAGTGATTAAGTGTCAAATCAGGGCTGTACGGAGGATGGCCCGTCAAATTAATGTTTTCGATGGTCAAAAATTTCTTTGTTTTAGTTTTTCTTGAGTATGATTTGTCTCTTCTGTTTATATTGACGAATTTTTTCGATGACTTCTTGCAAACAAATTGTCGTGTATCACTCAGACTTGACCGTCGTACGCTGCTCTAACGCCACTTTGCTTCAGACTTATATGCATATATCCATGATTCGTCAACTGTACAGACGTTACATCATGATCACATTGATGTTTGTCATACTAATACCTAAGGATCTTCCATTGATCAATTCACGCACACCATCGATGTTGTGTGGCACAACAACTGACTTTGCATGACCCTCCCCAAATTCATTCTGCAGCGAACGTCAACCATGATTGAATTCGTTATATCAATTTTTCACAGTGAGATGAAACTCCATCGCCATATGAAGAACTAGGCCTATCGAAAGTTATGAAAAGTTGCTCGAGAATGTTGACTGGTTAATTCCATTTTCAGTAGAACAAAGTGTTTTAAGTGCCAGTAAAAAAACTAATGATTTTAGATGAAAACGTTCTGAGAACATTTATGCTAAAAAATATTCAATTTTTCAACGGAAATGTCAGATTGCACCTAAAACCAATCAGCGCCGCCAAGGTCAGAAATATAAGTAGATTGCGTCGATTGTTGATGAAAATTTTCTCAACTAGCAAATAATGTAGCATCAACTTTCTGAAAAATCAGTTCTTGCGAAAGGTCTTTGTTCTTGTCCCACATATTATCCCGAGAGAGGAAATCATTTCAAATGTATCCCAACAGCTAATTAAATTCGACTTGAAACGGCATATCTGAAATTTATAATTTCGACATAGTAATTTTAAAAGCAAATACAGGAAACGAAGCTATTCGTAACGTAACCTTAAATCTGGTATTAAAGATTTTTCGCTATTAGGATGCGTGAAAAACTCTGTCACACCTCACGATTTTGGAATTCCTCGTTTCTACGGATTCCTTAAGATTCACAAACCAAAATTATTTTCTAGCAAATCTAAAATCTTTTACAGGAAAAACTGATAGTTTCGCACTTAATCATTGAACAATTGAAACCCACTACAGAATGATGTTCGGTTTTCTCTCTTCTCTAACCAAAGCTATGGACGCCGTACGTGGAGGATACGTTTGTCATTTTCCTCATCATAGCACAATCTCAGATAATCTTATCAATTAAAAATTAGACCTATCATTAGGTCGTACGGTTTACATATCGCCATCCGGCCCAAAAATGATCGGTTATCATTGTTTACAGCGACGCAAAACTCTCTCGATCCGACTCGGTGGACCCACCATAGATGTTTTGGGTAACCGAAGATCAACGTTTAAAAATGTGCACTATTGCGTGTACAAATGCGTATTTCTCGGAGTAATATACTAACATACTGCTTCAAGAAAATGTTAAACGATATTTTTCATTTTACAGTCACAGAGGATGAATATGCGCAGCTTCGCCAGCACAATGGTCGAGGTACGTACTTGATTGTCCCGATTACAAAAATAATCAAATTGAAAAAGGTTAAGTATTATTTAATTTTTGATTACCGACTATACATAAGGCTAAAATGTTGAGGTAATGTGCGTTAAATCCCCTTAGAATCGCCTCTGTTTGAAACTACAGTATAAACGCTTGGTGCATTAACCTATCTAAAAATTTGTATTATTTTTTAAACCCATTTAATATCAATTTTAGATGCTTTAAAAAAGACTGTAGTAATGCGCGAATATCAATTTCTGAGTAACGTTATAGTTTCCTGCTCGAAATAAATTGTTAAAAGCCGTTTTTCATTTTCCAGCCACACAGGATCAGAATCAACAACTCTACATTGGAGGTACGTAAACAGCTCTAGAGGGAGTTAAAATACAGCACCATACTCTGAATTATTTTTAATGATTTTTTTAAATACATTTGAAATATGTCAAAGGGGATCAACAGAATATCCTCCAAGATCTCTAGATATTACACCAATGGATTTTTATATATAGAAATATACAAGAAAATACCACAAAATTTAGGAGACCTGAAATTTGGACTTAAATACGAAGGCAAATGAATGGAAATATCCTGAGTAATGTGTTGGAAGAGTTTTTAAACAGACCAGCGTATTCAAAAGAAATAAATGATGTGCAGTCTGGATCTTGCAATAGGCCTTAAAAAGGGCAAATTTTCAATTAACTAGGTAAAATTTTGAAGTCCAGTGCCGCCAGGTACGACAAAGATGTATGTCACTGACTCTTTTGCAATTTTTGTTGTTTACTTTGAATAAGCCCGTAAAGGTACAGATGCTTTGAGTCGTATCATGGAAAAACTTATTTATATGAAAATTCTTTTGGATACCTTCGATAAACATAAAATTAACCAGTTTAATCAGTTTCATTGCAGTCTTTTAAATCGAGAAATGCGATTAAGCGACAGGTCAGAGATCTTACCATAAAGACAGAACTTGAATAGCTGTGCTACAGGCACGTCAATAGGGTATCCAAAGTTTATAGATTAGCTGTAAATTCGGATGCAAAATATATCCCTCAATTTCGAATTCGTTACGGTAATTTGAAGGAAAATTACGAAAAATTTGAAGTTATTCATAATGAAATTGTTTTGTTGGTCACATCAGATAATGAATACGTTACTCAAGATAAAGTACGCAAAGACACTGATCAATTTTATTACGAATTCCTTGTAATTTATCATGAAGTTTGTTCTGGACAAAATTTTCAAGGCGGAACTCCACACGCACTGAATTAAAAATAGACTCTAGCGTATAACTCCCTCAAATCACCATTCCAATTTTCAATGGAGACCAAAGACCAGCATTTTTAAATCATAATCAACCGGTAGTGGTAATCATCAGAAAGTAGGGAGCTAACGGGACCCGGCAACCACTAGATGTTGGTTCAGTGCCCTATTTCATTAATGGAAGGACACGATTTTCTCTCCATTGGTTAGTGCAATAACTTTCATGCAGTGTACTGTTAAGTACGCTACACTTCCATTAACACCGTATTTTGGAAACTAAGCATTTCTGGACCTAGGTTTATTTGAACTTTTTTATTTATTTATTTATTTTTGGCTAACAAATCTATGTAATATTATAATGTGATAACGTTTTTAAAAAATAACCACTCTGTAGTATTTTTTACATTATTTAGGAGCGATAGCGGTGGGTATCATCGGAGGATTAGCAACAATGGCTACAGTTTGGCGCTTGTACAAGGAACACAGGCGACAGCAGTAAACACCACAGTATATGTAACCATCGTTCAGTTATTATTTGCTATGTCAGTTAGTGTGGTAAATACATTCCTTAGAAATATCCAAGTTTTTTTAACAACTACCTTCTCCGCAAAAATGAACACTTCACTTAAATCTGAATCAAGCGCAGGAAATCGACGATATAGAAACAATTATTAATAATTAATATTAAAACCAATTTTATTATATTATTATTAATTATCATATAAAAACAAAATACAAAAAAAAACATGCTTCCAGTTACACAAGTACGATAAATAAACGCCTGTATATCAGATTCGTGCGCAAGGCAAGTTCTGTTCTACCTTTACGGCGAAAGTACTCAACCTAACTAACAAAACTTAATAATAATGTAATCATAATAACATTCATTCAAAAATATTCCGGGATATCATCCGTTCGCTTGTTGATCTCCGACTAGAATCCTGCATCCGACTGGGATCCTGCAGACGTTTCGCCAAAATCTCGCTTGGCATCTTCAATGCTCGCGCTCCGAAAACGCTTCACAGGATTCCAGTCGGAGTTCAACAAGCGAATGGATGATATCCCGGAATATAGTGTCATCACATTTTTCCATCCGTGAATCAATACGTGAATATATATATATATATATATATATATATATATATATATATATATATATATATATATATATATATATATATATATATGATGACACTATATTCCGGGATATCATCCGTTCGCTCGTTGAACTCCGACTGGAACTCTATAATCCTGCATCCGACTGGAATCCTGCAGACGTTTCGCCAAAATCTCACTTGGCATCTTCAATGCTCGCGCTCCGAAAACACTTCGAACACTGTTGCTATATATATATATATATATATATATATATATATATATATATATATATATATATATATATATATATATATATATATAATCGTTTATTTATACATTAGCCAAAATGGTTTATTTGGCTGGTTAACTTTTCTAGCAACGTCAATTTCACCCGAAAGAGCCACCAAAATCAAAGAGGCAATATCCTCCCCTGTCAAGTAATGTTACTGTATATTATTATTTGTCTTGTTTTGTTGGTTTTTCTTTTTACTAAAAAAAAATAATATTTGGATCTAGACAAAGACTTTCTTAAAGCCTCTATATTATTTTAGCGACCATGGGGGGTTATTAAATAAATGTGGAGAGATTTGATGAATATTTGTTTGTCAATTCTGACGGTCATGTCAGTGAATGTATTCGTGTTGTATTCTTGTTGCATATTATGCTATTTCAGATAATAAAAGCAGCATCTTTGTCCAGCAATAAAGACCTCAGAAAATATGGGTAGTGCTTCTCAAGGAGGTTTTCACCAGAAGAATTAATAAAAGGCTATTAATATCGTGTGATCCTTATTTTTTGTCTTTATCTCAATGTGTGGGAGCACAGTCAAATAAAGAGCCACGTGGTTCTTAATTTACTGCGACACATAGAGGTAGGTATTGGTATTGGTATTGGTATTAAAGGGGGGCGCCCTCGCGGGCGTCCAAGCACTTAGGCCACCAGATGGGCCCGTTGTGCCCCCAGGCCGCTCTAGAGGGCGTCCAGAATGCCGCCCCTCCTGTAGAAGGTCAGCAACTCCTTTAGCCCAATACCGTGCACTGAGTCCGGACCGATCAGGGCCGTTCCGAAGACTCCCAATCTTGCCCATGTCAAGGCAGGGCACTCGGTGAGCAGATGATACGGGGTCTCCTCCCCTTCCATGCACCACCTACACTCCGGGTCGTCTCCAATGCCTAGCAAGCAGAGATGCCTCCTAAGCCTGCAATGTCCTGTGTAGGCCCCTGTTAGTGCTCTACACTCCCTCCTGGCCAGTCTAAGCAGCTCCCTGGTCCGAGGAAGGGCGGGCCCATCCATCATAAGAGGTAGGACAAAATGATGAAAATATTATTCACGGTAATGGATGATCATCGATATTTGCCTCTTAGTAGGGACGAGGATACCGATAGTATTATTGTTGCATGAATTTTTCTACTTTTATTTTTTTTTCTTTTCATTATTCAAGGTAATTTTTACTTTCAATTATTAATGCAGTACATCTTCTGTGAACCTTCTAAATAATAATAAATAAACTTACAAAAAAATAACGAAATTTGCTCGCATTTTACTCTGTACCTGCTTTTATATTGTTTGACAGGGGCGGAGCTACATGAGCGGCATAAACACCGTCTCGGATGGTGACAGGTAAAGACCTGAGTGGCGGTTGAGATTGTTAGGTTGCTTACAGATTTCTACACACTCTCGGATTTTTCGCGGGAAGAAGAATTGATTACATGCAAGAATTTTAGTTTTATTAAATAAAATTTTATGTCCGCTTTCGTGATTGTGTTCGCCAACTTCTGATGAGTTTATTTGTCTTAAGGCTCGTTCATGCTTTTTGAGCCTAGTTGATATTTTTCGTCCGGTCTCTCTCATATATATTCTTTGCCGCGTATGCAAGAAATGCCGTAAACTCCTGCCATCTCAAATGGAATTTTGTCCTTGGCAGATCGAAGATGTCAAGAGATTTGGTTTTGACGCTATATTTCTTTAGAACTTTTGATATGTAGTCAGTGATGTTTTGAATGTAAGGAAGGACAACAGTCGCTAGTATGAAATTGCTTTCGATTTCATTGCTATTTGAAGGTTTGGGATGAAGTGTATTTTGTGATGGAACGCTTAATATATTTAATGTGGAAATTATAAGAGAGGAGAGCATGAGGGGTGACAGATTTTTTCACGGAGTCTGATAGAGAAGAATCATTAATGATAAATTTAAGGCTGCGATCCATAGATGATGTAGGATCTTTTATGAGTTGACGATATGATCTTTGTGTAAGAATGTCTTGAATCTTTTCCTGATATATTTCCTTTATCTGTTCTGAAGATTACGATATTGGGATTAGATTGAATTTTAATTTGAATTTTTAGGGATTTTTGCGGTTTTCTAATCGAATTTCATTGGCTGTTTGAGATGGTAGTTTTTTTTAGGATAAACTCGACATTTGAAATGCGTGGGCCAAGAACAAAGTTCGAACCTTTTGAAAGAACTGAAAGTTGGTGCGATGATACATTATCACAGTGTTTGTTAATTGACAAGACTATGATGGTTTCCCTAATGTTGACGTTAGTTTTTCAAATTTCTGAATGTGATTCTGGGTAGAAGATAAGCGGAGATTTAAAAAAAGCTTTGTCATGAATCATTTTTGAAAGGGTATCGAACTCGGATGGAGACAAGATGGAAGCCATGTCAAGATGTAGAGACAGAAGAGTCTTATTGATTAGGTCTATTTCCTTACGGGTATGATGAATGCTTTCTCGAAGTAAAGCGAAACTAGATTCTCGAAGAATTTTATTAGCGGACGAGTTTTTGACATGGTTGGATATTTTTTAAAAAATTGGGGATGACGTTATGGTCTCTACAACGTAACAAAAAAGTGAGTGAACAGAGTTTCAGTCGTTGATCTTCTAGCTTTCTGCTTTTGCGCTTGATATATATGAAACTGGCTCGCATTTTACTCTGTACCTGCTTGTTTGAGGGTTTGAGGGTGGCGGAGCTAAATTAGGGCCATAAATACCGTCCCTCATATTGGTGACAGCTAGAGACCTGAATCACGGTTAAGATTATTAGGTTGCTTATAGATTTCTATAGACTCTCTGACTTTTCGTTGGTAGAAGAATTTTAGTTTTATCGTAAAATGCGAATCGGTTTCAGTCAAGCGCTGAAGAAGATGTTTGGCGAATCGTTAGCTGGTTCGTGTCAACAAAAAGTGACGCAGAAGGAATCCAGAAGTTTTATAAAAAGATTAATTTTTGTTTAAGAAAATAATTTAAATTTTAAAGGCCTTATTTATTACCTCCAAAATTGGCGAAAATGACCGATGTGCGGCGTGGCAAAAGTCAACACTGGATCTCAGTCCGCAGTTAGCGTTTTTTTTTTTTTGGTCACGGAATTACACCGAAGAACTAAAGCTTCCGAATTATTCTGGTCGACTCAATCTGGTCCCGTTTAAATACGTGTCGCATTTCACTAAACGAGCTTCTCATACAGTAATTAACATTGTTAATTAAGTGCAAAACAAAACAAATGGTCGCGTAATCGTTCGCTGGAACCTTTTGGGCCGGAGTCTTTTTTTGCGGTACCGCGTGGGACTGTACTGTCGAAAAGACATCTCGCGATTATTGTGGGAACCGACCGCTCGCGATACGTCAACGAGTTTTGCGAAAAGTGTCGATTTAATTATAAGTCAAATCTTTAGTGGGAGATCTCGATGCTCATTTGATGACTTAATTCTTTCACTCTACATATTTTTCTCAATTTAGATCAAGACAACAAAATTTTTGACTGACAGGACTCTCAATCTTCATCGCCCTGGCTTTTGCCCGCGATTGTGGATGTTACCTGCCAACGGCAGGTATTAAAGTACAGATCATTAGAGACGAACTTTCCAAGGTTTTGGTAATACTTTAGTTTATTTTGGTGTGTATATTCTTATTAAATTACACTAAGCAAAAACACGGTTTTTATTGAGTCAAACTTCTAGAATCTAGAAGTTTTGTAAAACGTATTACAGTGGCCTATGGAAGTTTCTTTGAAGAGAAAAAAAAGATTTACGTCGTAATCTTCGACGTAAGAAAAACGATAATAGAACAATATTAAATAAAGAGAACTGATTAATAATCTAGGTAGTTTCCGGTAAGATGTATTTTTTAAAAGAAATTTAAAAGCCCAGTGAGAGACATTCTGTGATTGGCTAATCTGAGGATATTTATTAAGTAGTCTAACAGCTGTATACGAGAAGCAGCTTTTAGACATGGATATTTCATACTGACCATTGAAGCGGGTTCGACGGACATGAATGCGATTTCTACAAGTCAGTTTTTGCAACAAATATGAGAGGCAGCTTTGAGTAGTTTGTGAAGAAAACAAGCGAAATGTAATTCTTCTCGGCTCGAAATATTTAACCATTTTAAATGGTGAAGTTTATGACTTACATGATCTCTTCGTTTAAGTGCGTGAAATATTTCAGAAAATAAAAATATTAGGCATATACAACCTTATCTAAAATGGTCTTCATTTTTGATGCCAAATATGACGAGATTATAAAAATAGGTAGTTTCCATTAAACAAAAAAAAGTTTTTTGGCAATTTTTTTAATTTCATATTTAATCTTATTTTTCCGGTACTCTGCCTTAATATGTGTCGAAATTTCTTATGAAATCCGTCATTCGGTAATTCGTCTACAACAAAACTTACTCAAGCGAAGCAATAAATGCTTCCGAATGCAGATGTTGGCAGATATTTTACCTCTTGCAGAACGGCCAGCCCTATACATTCTCAAAAAGTCTTGACTACTTGTATCAGTTAATGCCAAATTTGAACAGAATCGAGTGAATATTTGTTTTGATATATTTCTTTTGTAAACAAACAATTTTTCATATTTGATTAAAAGAAACCGTCTTCTAAGATATCTCCGTCTATTTTTGAACCCGTTACGTGTTTATATATAAAAAATATCTTGCTTGTGGTAAGTAACATACACTACATGCATACACATTTACTTGTGACGAAATCAATAGAAAAATTGGAAAAACTCAACAAAAATTTCAGACCGACTGTATAAAAAACACTTTAAATTAAACCATGAAACAACTGTAGTTGTTCAATTCACCAGTCAATACATAATTAAGGTGGTACAATCAAATAGACTGTGTATTAAAAAACTTATAAGCTCTTATTTTCCTATTTTAACGTTGAAATCTTTCTTAAATACATCTTCCCTACTATATTTAGTAATCTCTTACAATATCACAAGTTGGGAAAGAGAGAATCTTTGTCCAACAAAAGAGGATGATTCGGAAATAATCACAAGAATCGCGCAAAGAGACTTTTAAAACAAAAAAAATTTAAGTCAGAAATTTATTTACTTAAACTATTCATTTATGTACATAAAAATAAAGGAAATTTTCAAATAAGATCTAATATTCTATCTAATTTCTAGTTAAGAAACTAATACAAATACTATACCTATAAAAAATCATTTTCAATCCGAGGAAACATACTATAATATGCTTCCTGCTGAAACTAGAGACGTAAAGCAAAATAAATTCAATATACGATAATTACATAGATAAAAAAATACACACAAAAACGTTCGTATTCTATGACACAATGTGGCTCCTTGTTTGTTGGTCTTTTTACGTAAAATTTTGTATTTGTTTTAAATAACATTTTCATGTTTTTAAATTTTGAAAATATTTCTTTACTTTGTTATATTGGTATTAGTAAATACATATCAGCTGTACTCTACTCTACAACAATACATAAATAAGGCTAAATTTTCTCTGAAAACTAGAATCGACAGTGACCACCTGACATTGAAAATCAATGCTTTCAAATATGAATGCCACCAAAGAAGACTCCATTGCCTTTTCCCCTTAGAGCGTAATTGGTTTTACAAGTGGGCGGAGCTGGACGACGTTTAATATCTACTAAATTTGCACCTTCCCAAAATATCTTCACAGGTCTTTGCTTGAAGCGAATGCCGAATGCGTATCTAATGTAGTTTAAAAGGTGTGTCTCGCATACTAATGTTTGAAATGGTTTAAAAATACGATGTAAAATATTTACCTCCGAAAAGGATGATTTTTCGGCCCAGTAACGTAAAATTCTGATTTCTCCTTATGGCTGACCTAACCAAAGCTGCATTAACAAGAATAACTTAGACGAAAAAGTTTTCTGTTGAAATATTTTTAACCTTAAGATGTTACACAATGTTTTTAGATATTGAACTGAGGAGGCTTTTACTTGATGAAAATCCATTTATCAAAATAAATAAGCACTAAAAGTTCAGATTTTGTTTGATCACATTTGATAAAGACGAGGTGTTGTCAAAACAATTGTCATGTCAAAATATATAATTTCGTGAAAATCTAAACTTTTAGTTCGTATTTATTTTTTTTAGATATTATTTGCACACGCCTAACGGAAAGTACATTTACCAATAAAATGTTACATATTATTCCAGTTCCGCCACTGCGCCAGTTCATCAGTTTAACATCAATTTGTTATGGCGCATCCCCAATGCTCATGCCATCCCCTGACGAAATATATACATATTCAGTTATCCATGGGTCAAAGAACACCCGCATAGTTTCTAGGATATTAAGAACGTGATTTGTAACAAAGGAATGCATCTCGTTTTCATGCAAGAATGCCAAAACAGACAAATATTTTACTGTTGAACTCTTTGTTGCAAGTAGTGTCTAAGTACAAACTTTAATCATATGTAATTATATCGAAAATTCAAACAAGTGGTGCAATAGCTTTTACTCGTTTAACTGGAGTATTATATCTTTACAAGAAGTAGTATCATCTCTTTGCTATTTAAAAAATAAATAAATTTATACGGGTGTTAACTTAGACCTCGTATATCTCAAAAACTGAAAATATTTAGATTTTGTTAATAGAATTCGGCACCACCTATCTGGGACACCCTGTATAATCTGAGGCGCATTTGTGAAACTTAGTTTGTAGTTAAATTTCCGTCGCAATACCTGTATCAGTAGCGTCACAACACAATTTTATATGGGGCAATTAAAATATGAAAAAAACACATAACCTCATTTCCAGATCGTATAGTGGATCGTTTTATTTGTCACACCGTGTATTGAAACAGATACTATGGGCGTAAGTATTCATTTAAAAGGGGTCGAACTGTAAGCACTCCAGAATATTCCCAATATCTCGCACGTTTTGGTTTGGAAAATTTTGAGTTTCTATTGTACCCGTATCATATTCAACAAGACCAAGCGTTACTTCCCAGAGATTTTCTCTTGCGTGTTAATTTTTGTCAATGGCTTTTAGACAGAAGTTCGCATTGCCTCTTGTTTGACCATTTAGAGAAGAAGCTAACTTTTCTAGAAATGTAATCAGAAATTTCCACACTAACCTATTTGGGCAGATGGAAACCCCCAATTTGATAGAATGTTATGTTATTTCGCTAAAACTGTAAGAGTAAAAAGAACAGTCTCAAAAATTTTTTTTTGAAGGGCACTAGTTGGCCACTAAAAACTAGATATTTTATTTTAGACAGATATTTTAATTTTCACAAAGAAAAGTTCCAAAATATTCGTCCATATTCGGTCAGTGGCCCGCCACTGATTTCCTTAAAAAAATAATGACGTTGGCATTCATCCATTTCACAGTTTTCACTTAAAAATAGAAACTAATTTCTCTGCATGGTGTCATATTAACGATAAGACCACGCAGAAAACCAAGAAATTTTTTTTTTTTAATGATTGAAGATATTAGTATTTGGTGACATTCCGTACGCCCGCCACTGGTGTATTTAAAAAAAAATGTGGTGCTCTAAATAATGCCTCTCGATACTGTGTGAAAAATTTGACTAAAATATGTAAATTATATCTTAAAAGAGAGGACCAATGTTCATATGACGTTTTCTTTTTAAAATGGACCTATAAAGCACCCCACTTAATTTATTTGTACTGCTCCAGCTCGAGCTTGCGAACTATAGCTTATTTTTTGTTTTATTCTATAAATCAAGTTCTGTTTCTCCTGTTGTTCGCACAATTCGTTGTTTCCCTAAACTTTAGCAGCAAATTGTTAAATACTTTCTTGAACATTTATTAATTAATGCCGCTGGGATTGAAGAAATAAACAAGACCTTCGCGGAAAAGTAAATAATGTCCTGTCCTACCAACATTTAGACGGGTGTGACGCATAACATCCACAGTCATTATAGACTTCAGTAAGTGACGCCCGCACATGAGCAAATGGGTTGCGATAACGGTTGTCGACGCAGTAGTTACTTTATTTTAGCAACAATTTTCTTACAATTCGCTACGATGTCATACAGTTCTATTAGCACAAACCAGAAATTATCGAAAATATACCCAAGCGAAGAACGATTTTAAAGTGAGTATCCTTACTGATTATTTAAATATCCATAGTCCAGTTAAAATGTTTAAATTCAACAAATAATTCTCGAATATTTGTTATCAAATTATTGTTGTTTAAATATTGTTACTACCTCTAGTTCGCAACCTAAGTTAATGCAACGCAATTACTTGCACAACAACTGTACGTTTCCTTTCGTGCCACTGTCTACATCAATTGATGTCATCGCGTAGGTAACGAAGTGCCTAAACATTTAATTCCTTGTAAATTAAACAATATTATCTCATCAAATTCCATCTCCCTCTATCTATTATTTAGAACACAGGACCGTATCAGTGCGATACGACCCAAGCGTCTGCGATAAGATTCTTTTCAAAAATTAGAGGTCTCAGAAACATTTTTTTAATGTTTGAAATATCTAGGATAACAATAATTTTTTATCTATCTTTATGTCCGCAATAAACTTCCTGCCTAAAATCGTCTCCCAAAATTTGGTGACTTGGTATTTAAGAAACTTGCGCGAATAGAGTAAACTTTTTACAATTTAAAAAAAAAATATTTTCCAGTTTGAACCTTGAACGAATATTATGCTTTTATATTAGGTTAGGTTTTGGTTATGGTGTTATGGTTAAAGTAAAAAGTTTAAAACCTATTTCTATGAACGCAAGTCTATGTAGTTTTACGATAAAATGTAAACGAATATTTGAGTCCCGCACTGCGATGAAAATTTCTCACAAAATCATGTTCTATGGCATAACTTCAGCCTTCTATAGTTTGAACGTGACATTGACATTGCCGCAAAACAAAAATTGCGCTGCAAAAGGGGTAAGTACGCACAAAACACTCGACAAGATAATAATAGTTCAAACATCAATTTTTTGTCAATATTGCGTTCCCGCATTCATCTTGTTTGCATGCGGATCTGATAAGATTAAATTTAAGCGCAAGTCTTGCAAACCCGGATAAATGCAATTAAGTTAAACATAAATTTTACAAGGATTTAGCTCTTAACAAAAATCCAGCGAAAAGAATAACAAAATATTAAAAGAAGCAAACTTACAAGCAATATAATCAAATGTTTAGGATGTGTCATTGTTTTCAGGTTATGTTTTCCAAATTTTTTCAAACACGACAAATAGATCTTTAAGTGTAGCGTCAAAATGTCAAAAATACAAATTCGAAAGTCGAAGAAATTTTTATTCATCGTAGCACTTGTACTGAGTCAACGATACAGTCAAAATAATTATCTCATTGCTCTCAAAAGTTATGGAAAAATGGTAAATAAAAAAGTTGTGAAGGTGGTTAGGGTGTACAATTTAAAATTATCTTGAAGTATACAGTGTGTCTCAAACAAGCGTGACCACTAAAATATGCGTTTTTTCATAGGAAACAGTTTATTATTAACTTTGTTTTCAATTCGTTATGAAACTCTCAACTTTTTTAATAATAGCAATAATAAAAATAATGCATATCTATACCTAATAGTTTTTCCAATATTTTAATTTTTCTAAAACAATACTAGTTTTCACAGTTGCAAAAGGTGTAGTACTTTATCTCAATTTAAACAAAAATGTTTAGAAATTATATAAGCATCTATATTATGGTTTTTGTGATGAAAGTGAACCAAAGTTGTTATTAAATTGTGATAGATATTAGCCTACTGCTAAAAATAAAGATGTTATTATTATTATTATTATTATTATTTACTTTTTAATGAATTTTAATTTTGGGCGTTATTGTCACCAAAATTGTTAATGACTATCTGTTCCTTTATTTACGGCTCCAACAAAATTATTTCTCCTGTTAATTTGTAATCTTAACAGAGCCTTGTTGGCTAATAGTATCGTCAAGGCCAACTAATATCATAGCAACAGTCTTAGACAGAAAAAAGGGTAATACTGGAAAAAATAAAATAAATTGAAAAATATTAAATATATAGTATTAAAAGTATTAAATATATAAAAATAATAATAAAAGTTGTAGGTTTTTGTAAGATCTTTCAGAGAAAATAATCATATATATGGTGTGCCATTTAAGAAAATGGATATTTTTCAATTTAAAAAGTACCCTGTAGGATCCAGTTCAAATTTCCTCCAATAACGCTAATATCAAAAATCATGGCTACCATAAAAAATGATGGCGATATTGTAATTTGTATGAACATGAATATTTTTTTAGAAAAAATAAAATATTTGAAGAACTAATAGGTTTAGGTATGTATTGTTATTAATAAAAGAGTTGAAGAACTTAAAGAGGATTTCAAAACAAAATTTAAATATAGGGTGTTTCATTGAAAAAATGTATGTTATATTCGTTCCGCTGTTTGGAGGCACCCTGTATACATTTGAATAATTTTAAATTGTGTATTCTAACCATATTCGTCGACTGCTCTTGTACATATAGCTTGAACTTATATTTTTCGAATTCAGAAACAAATTATATCAATGTTTTTACGCCACACAACAGCATTTAGTTTAAGCATTAAGACAGCTGTCAAAATTTAATTGTTGCAATGAAAATTTTGTTAATTCCCAAAGTCAATTAGCTATCAGATTTGAAATTTTGAGCACTCAGTTCGCCTTTCGACTGCTCACTTTAACCGTGGCGACTGGTGATGAAGTCCAAATAATTTCTTTCTCAGTTCCTACGAAGACTGAGTTGTCTCCTATTGACTTCCGGTTATTTCATCAATAACTTGTATGGGTATTGGTTGCGTCGATTCGTCATTGAAATCAAAAACATATAACATGGTGTCAAAATATTCTTTTAGGAACAGTAGTACTCTGTATATTAGCAGTTCAACTGATTTATTTATTAACTATGATAACTTATATTGTTTTTTTAAGGTGATTAAGAGTTGATGTGCTACTATGACGTCAGCGGGCCCATTCGCAGGAAGAAACGTGGTAAAGAGAACGATTACTGCAGCATGCGGCGTTGCTTTTTTCGTGTTGATCACTTACATAGGGCTTCCGGCGTTCCTGCTCTCCGCGCTGGTCGTCCAAGTGAAGTGTTTTCACGAAATCATCGCCATAGCGTACGCCAGCAAAAAGGTGCCCGAAATACCGTCGTTCCGACTGCTCAACTGGTACTTCGTGATCGTCGCCAATTACTTCTTCTGCGGTGAAACGTTCCCGCAATACTTGGTCGCGTTCACCACGAAATACGAATTCTTCGCCGCTCTCTTCAAGTACCACAGGGTCCTCTCGTTCTGTTGCTACTTCCTGGGTCTCGTGTGGTTCACGAATTTATTGAAAAGAGAAGCTACCAGACAGCAGTTCAGTCTGCTAGCCTGGACCCATTTCCTTTGCATAATCATCGTGTTCCAAAGTTACACGGTGGTCCAGAATACCTTCGAAGGCCTCGTTTGGCTCATCGTACCCATATCGATCGTCTTTCTCAACGACATATTCGCGTATCTATTCGGGAAATTGTTCGGCAAAACTCCGCTCACGGAATTGTCGCCCAGCAAAACCATAGAGGGGTTTTTGGGTGGTGCTCTCGGTACGGTAGTATTGGGAAGTTTGTTGGCACACCTGTTAAGTTCGGCAGAGTATCTGGTTTGTCCTACGAAATTTATACTAACGGACGATCGCATCGTAATGAGCAATAACTGCACTCCGAGCTATTTGTTCCAGCTTGAAGCGTACCGCTTAGGACCGTTCAGACTCGAGACGTATCCATTTCTTTGGCACGTGCAAGTCATTTCGCTTTTCGCCAGTCTCGTCGCTCCTTTCGGCGGATTCTGCGCGTCCGGGTTCAAGCGGGGTTTCAAAGTGAAAGATTTCGCTGATACGTTCCCGGGACACGGCGGTTTCATGGACAGGTTCGACGGGCAATACTTGATGGCGACCTTCATTAACGTCTACATCAGTACGTTTATAAAGTCGTCGAGTAGTATCGACAAAATATTAGTCAGGGTGTCGCATTTAAGTAACGACAATCAGCGGATCTTTTTCAATCTGCTGGAAGAATCCCTCAGATGGCGGGGATTGCTGAGCTAGCGTGAAACCAAACGTCATATGTGTGAATTGTGTTGTGTCAATAAATTTGTGAGACGGAAAACGATTTATTTTTTCCCGGTTGGCTTGCGTAATTAACAAGATTACTTTCGAAAAACTGTCACTGGACGGGGCAAGTTTATAGTGCTTAGCGAAAAAAACGATGGGCAATTATATTTTTTCAAATAACTTGCGCGATACTGTTTAAACGAAAGTATCTCATGTCTTATAGTTTTTCATTTACAGCTAATAATTTCCCCACGAAAACTGCAATTTTAAGGGTCTTTATGACTTTTTGGCCCTAATCGGTACATAATTGGAAAAATGCCTTAAATAAAGGTTATCCCGAATCTCAAGCGTTTGCTGGTCTGAGAATTTTTCCAATGGAGTAAATGGTTTTCGAGAAAATAATGTTTTTCTGTCGTAGTCAATGACGTCATCGCGTCTAGACTGAGTCCGAGGAATAGTGATTTTCAAATGCAGTTTTTTGAAATATTTAGCAACGTGTGTGGTAGACGAAAACCGTAAATACAAAAATTGTAGCTCTTGATGGGGTCTATAATACTGTTTAAACCAGTTAGTCATATTTGCTACAAATTTTGATTTACTGCTAATAATTTACTATGGAAAACAACAATTTTTAGGGCCATTTACATTTTTGTCCATAACTGAAAAACCCTGTAAGAAAAGTTACTGGATATTCCGCGTCTGCTGGTTAAAGGATTTTGCCGATCGGAATAATGGTTTTCCAGAAAAAAAAATAGGTTTCGTTGCCAAGCGCGTATACTTTCGAAAAATTCGATTTCGGAACTTTCGAAAAATGGATGTAATTTTATTACATCTCGCTGAACTTTTGCATTAAAATTTGTACTGGCAATTGCGATTTAAAATGAGATTTTTTCAAATATCTCGCGCACCCCGTATGATAGAAGGAAAACTGAAAATCCTTTAGATTTTTTGCTTATAAACGACACACCCTGTATATAATAGGGGTTATATCTCCAACGTTGCCTGGTATATGAATTTTTCGGATAGAGTAAATGGTTTTCGCGAAAAAACTTATTTTGTGAACCCACGCAGTAAATGAAGTCAGATAGATTAAGGGCGAGAAATAGTGATCTTCATCTGGATTTTTTTAAATATCTCGAACAGCGCATATGATTCACGAAAACCGTAAATACAAAAATTTTAGCCCTTGAGGCGGTGTACAATAACATTCAAACCAATTACCCATGTATCTTAGAAATTTACTCCAAAAGAGAACAATTTTCGGGGTATTTTAGATTTTTGTCTACTATTGAATAACCCTCTATATAATCGAAGAAATGCTTGAAATAAAAGTTAATAGTTTTCCAGAAAACGTTTTTTTTAGAAGCCAAAATAAGAAAAACAAAATTTTTGAAAATTTTTAAAAAATACTTGGTAAGTCTTGATTTCTCTCAGTTTCTACGGTTTAGATATGGGTGTGAATGTTCCCTTATCTGTTAGATTTGAAGTCTATAGCTTCAATTTTTTTTATGTCTATTATATTTTTGACTATAGAACACGTTGTGCCGAACACCCTGCAGAACATGTGAAAACCGAAACTATAAAAGTTTTAGCAGTAGATTACAAAAATAGAGAACCAAGTATACAGCCTTGGGGCACCCCAGAAAGCACATTAATGGTCTCTGAAAAAAACCGTCCACCAGAACTCTTGTGCCCTTTCACAAAAATAGGATCTGACAAGATTTAATGATTCATTCTCAACCACATAATAGCTAAGTTTGGATAGCAAGAGACGGTGGTCAATTGTATCAAATGCCCTGGAGTAATCAAACAATACAAGGACACTCCCTAGACCGCGATCATGGGCCTCATTAATATCATTAATAACCACCGCAAGGGCTGAAGATGAGCTAAACCTTTTGCGAAACCCGTTCTGCACAACCGGAATAATTTCGGAAGTTTTTTTCTATAATTTCAGAAAATGGTGGAAAAATGTTGTTGGTGTTTTGGTTTTGCGTAAAGAAATGCCATTTCTGGTCTTCTAGTTTTGAACAACTTAGCTGTTTATGATATTAGTAATGTAGGAGTCAATAAATGGGCTATAATATTCTTACATAGACGCCGTTACTCCATTTGTACCACAGGCATTGCTCTGGATACTGTGCAAAGCCGTATCTTCAACCGAACATAGGGTGAACTGAAATTCTTTAGTGTTATCCTATTTACTATTTTCATCTATCGGGATTTGATCATTACACTTAACTGAAATATTTCCAAAATGTTTGTTATTCTATTTGGATCTGCCGGAGTAAGCGGTAAATTTCAATTAGCGTGAAGGTAAGCTGGCTTTTCAGATCTTACAACAAATACCATATGGTTGCGAAGCTCCTTGTGCTAATTCCAGTCGTTAACCAATTTAGTGCGTTTAACTTTTTAAGGGCATTGACTCACGTTTTTTCAGGAGAGATTTAAGGATATCCGTTAGTTACTCTGACTTCCTCATGACAATCAAAGATTGCTAAATCTATTAAAGACAATGATATCCAGAGTAAGACCTGCAGATCCAGCAAAAAATCTTTCATAATAAAGTTTTTAAAACAGCGATAGGTAACTACTCCAATGTGAAAATATTGAATGTCGTTTCTAGTCCATTTTATTCTGTTGAAGTTTTATTACTCTAGATCTTTCTGAAACAGACTATAGTAACACACACGGTTAATATATAAAACACAAAACGGACAATTAAAGTGGTCTCTTCATGCGCACTTGAGACTGTTAGATGACTTAATTAAAAACGAAAGAGCGGACACACACGCAGACGCTACCTTTTTTTTTTTGTTTCCGTAATATCAGTTTTCATAATCTCGAAGAATTTTTGAGCATCCCCAACATTTCGGCTTTTCGGGTCCGACGTCGATGGCTCGAACAGATATTATATCCGAACGGGAGCATAAAATATTCGGTGAGGCACGCCGTGGAATGCAATATCACAAAAATTAAATTAGTTCGTTAAAGGATTCCATCGTAGTCGGAAAATTCTCGAAATTCCATTTGCGGAACGGGCCCGTTGCTCGGCTCGAGCTCGTTTTTATGAAAACTCGAAAGATAATATGAGATGCTCGGATGGGAGGCTTCGATTTTTTTTAATTAAAAACAAAAAACGGAAAGCTTCGCCCCTGCCTGGAAAGTTTTTGTTCGGACTTTGATTTCCAGGTGCCTTTTAGAAATATTTACACAATAACGCCCTCTAGCATTTGGTTGCTTATTCTAAGAAGTCACCTGGTAGTAGCATCTTTTATTTCTATGGAAAGTAAGTCAGATTTTAAAGAAATTTCGAATTATTCAAAGAAACTTCCACAGACTACGGCAATACAAAACTTCTGGATTCCTCCTACGTCGGTTTTTTTTTTTTCAGAGCTTAACTGAAAGAAGAAGAAGAAAGGAGAATGAGAGCTTAACTGAAAGAAGAAGAAGAAGAAGAAAGAAGGATGAAGAAGCAAACAGCCTGATTGGCGAAACCTTAGCAAGTTCGAATCAACAAAAACGAATTTTAGACAGTACATTTTATAAGAAGATCATCGCACATTACATAGTATTATTCTATAAAAAATTCATTTCTTTAGTTTATTTTCTATAAAAAAGGACAGTCTAATCTGTTTTAAAGTCTATATCATATGATAAAATTAATTAATTTATTAATTGTTTTTATTTCAATTTTTAAGATTGAGATAATAATAAAAAAATGTTCTAATATGATGCGGACTTTGGTAGGAATACTGAATATTTCCATTTTCTCCACACTTTTCTCATCATGTCCAATGCTATTTAATATTTTAAATTCCTAAAACAAAACGGTCTTTCTCTGCAATATTGAATAGCAATTGAGCCAAAAAGCCAATCCAAAAAAAAAAACAATTTATACAAGAAACAAATAGCATAAAATTTTATAATTTTTATACATTCTTATTTATATTTATATAAAATTTAGGGTGAATCAATTTTATAAACATTAAAAAATCCAGTTTCCTATCTTTTCGATGTTTTTTGAAGGGTCACTGTTGTTTTAATTAAATCCCCATGTTATCGAAACATATCGGCTTCAGAGTTTTCCTTTCGTTTTGCGAAAACTTAATTACTATTGTGTATTATTTTTTCATATTTCTTCAATTCCAAAACTAACTAAAACTAAAAAAGTTATTTTTTTTATTCACATTGTGTGATAAATGAACTCTTTAGCGTCAGATTTCTCTCTGTTACAACGAAAGTCGGTAATAAGTGGGGGGTAATTATGATATGGTATGATATTGATATTTCAGTTCACATGTTCAGATTTCGGCAAACTATAGTTTTCCATTTCTGTAACGTATTTTTATTTATACCCTTAAAGAGATATTTTTAAGCCAGGGTAACGGTCACTATTATTGGTTTGCTTTTCATAGTCTATTAAATCTTATTTTTCAAAAGTAACCAACACCAAATACTTTCGTTTTGTTCTTCCTAGTTCTAAGGGTATAATAGTATATTATGCAACAAGTGCGGTAAACGGCATTTGACTCACGAGTTTATTTGACACGAGCGGAGCGAGTTTTTAATAAACTAGTGAGTTAAAAAGTTTACCGAACATGTTGCTTACTATAATTTTTCTACGATCGTTAGTTTTTGGGTCCATTTTCGCAAAACAACACAAATACATTCACTAACATGACCGTCAGAATTGTCAAAATTCAAAGCGTGGGAAATATCTCCGAAAACATCCGATTTCTCCCAAATCCTTGCGGTAAAACCCCGGGAATGTCCGAAGTGGTTCGGATTTATGGGAAATGAAACTGACGTAGTAAAGTGACGCTTCCCGCACGCTAGATCGATGGGCAATTAGGTATTTTACAGACGGGAGTAGAAAAAAGTTTTTATTCGACGAAACCGGCATTATCTACATTAACAACTGATCCATCCAATCACAGGGCAATCAAAATTGGACAGGTAAGAAAAATAAAGTAAAGTAAAAAACATTAAACATCCGTATCTGGTAAACAATTTAATTAATTTCAATATATTTGTAGGTACTTTGTCCCTGAT